CGTCACAGCCGTGGTCCCTCCTTCATGGTCTGCATGCTCGAGTGGATGGGGTTCTGATGATTTCCAGGTCAGAAGCACCCACCGCGCTCGCTCAGTTCATGCCCGATTCCCTTTCTCCTGCTGAGTGTCAAGGGCCTTTGTTTACAGGGTTGCTGGTGCTGGCTGCTGTCTGTGCACCTGATCAGCCCCACTGCCTGGCCAGTGGCCAGGTGGCATCCAAGGCCGACAGCCTGGGTGGCGAGACTGCCTTCCTGGCGAGGAGCTTGTGATTATTCCGTGCTGTGCCTCTGAGGCTTCTAACCCAGACCTGGCTCCCCACTTGGCCTCTTCCTTATCCAGGTTACCCAACCTCTGCTCACCTGGCCTGATAAAGGAGAGCAGGGGAGAGGGAGAGAAGGTGGCCCTGTCTCTCGGGTTGTGGAGCACTCCTGCAGTCCTGTGGCCTAGAGTGAGAATGCTCTCCTGGTATCCATATGGATACTATCACGTTTGGTCAAGTAGAGGGTTAGTGGAAATGAGAGAAACCCTCTCTCTCTGAGGTGGATTGACACAATAGCCACAACCGTGAACTCAAACACAGCAGTGATCGTAGGGATAGTGTAGGACTGGGCAACATTTCCTTCTAGTGTACACAAGGTCATCATGAGTCAGAGCCATCTGGACGGCAGTGAGCAACAACAGATGACAGAGTGAGAAAGACCGGAGCAGAGTGGCCGAGGTGCCGGGAGCCAGGCCCCTCCTCTGCCTCTCACTCCCTGGTGTCTTGGAGGGCACATCAGCTCATCACAACGCTGTGTCCTCAGAGCCCACCAGTGACCAGGGAAGTCTTGCGGGCATCCTGACAGGGCCCGTGACACACTCAGCTGGTTCAGGGGCAGGCTGTCTCCTTCATCCAGACAGCGGAATGTCCCACCCTTAGGAGGATGGAGGAGAGTCTAGAAGCGGCAGCCACTTCTCTGTTCAAACCCGGGCCCTGGGCCTCCTTCCCCACCTGGCTCTGGGGGCTCCTGGTGGCCCAGCAGCATGGCTGGGCAAGTCCAGTCTACCTGTGCTGGTCATCTCCTTTCCCTCCAGCTCGGCTCTGTGGGTGGGGAATGACGGTCCTGCCGGTCAGGCACGGGTGCATCCAGGCTGTGACCCTGTCACTTGGCAGCAGGCTGGCCCTCTGACCCACCTCGGCCACCCTGGGCCCCTCGCTTCCATCACGTTGGCAGCAAGCCGCCGGCTGGGCCAACTCCCGGGAGAAAGTTAGAAAGAAATTCTCGTTCCTTCATTTCCACAGAACACTGCTTTGTGTGTGTGCTTAACAACATTAATTAAAAACATTAATCAGTGTGGCTGCCTTGGAGAGGACTCCTGTTGTGCAGGAGCCGACGGTCTGTTAGCGCTGCCCGTTACCGGAGGGGAGGTACTGGCTTTGCGGGCCAGCAGCTCAGTCACATGTTTGCTGTTTGCTAGTGGGCCACCTCCTTAGCCTCTCTGGGCTTCAGTTTCCATTTCTGTAAAATGGGGATGGCAGTTGTAACTATCTCCCGGTCTGTGGGTGTCCGGTGAGGTCCCTGAGGCTCGTCCTTAGCACAGGGTCTTACACAGAGTACACTCGCAAATGGCAGCTGCGATGATTAATTACTCACATTTTCCCAGTACCTTATAGTGTATAGAAGGAGCCCCGGTCGTGCAATGGTTAAGTTCTTGGCTGCTAACTGAAGGGGTTGGCAGTTCGAACCTACCCAGCGGCTCCATGGGAGAAAGACCTGGCAATCTGCTCCCATAAAGGTTACAGCCTAGAAAACCCTATGGGGCAATTCTACACTGTTCTATAGGGTCACTGTCTTGGTTATCTAGTGCTGCTATAACAGAAATACCACAAGTGGATGGCTTTAGCAAAGAGAAATTTATTCTCTCACAGTCTAGGAGGCTAGAAGTCCAAATTCAGGGTGCCAGCTCCAGGGGAAGGTTTTCTCTCTCTGTTGGCTCTGGGGGAAGGTCCTTGTCATCAATCTTTCCTGATCGAGAAGCATCTAAGCAAAGGGACCCCAGGGCCCAAAGGATGTGCCCCTGGCTCTTGCTTCTTGGTGGTATGAGGTCCCCATGTCTCTCTGCTCACTTCTCTCTTTTATATCTCAAAGGAGATTAATTTAAGACACAACCTAATCTTGTAGATTGAGTCCTGCCTCATTAACATAACTACTGCTTATCCCACCTCATTAACATCATAGAGGTAGGATTTACAACACATAGGAAAATCACATCAGATGACAAAATGGTGGACAATCACAGAATACTGGGACTTATGGACTAGCCAAGTTGACACACATTTTTTGGGGGACAGTTCAGTCCATAACAGTGGCTATGAGCCAGAATCGTGTATGGAGCATTTATTGCATACAGTAACATTTAATTCTCACACACGCCTGGGAGGTGGGGAGTATTATCAACTCCATTTCACAGATGAGTAAACTGACAAGTGAGGGTCACAGCCAGGCCTGGGGCTGAGGGCTTTTGACTCAAAGCCCAGTTTCTAGCTCTACTCTCACTGGCTCCCTTTTTTTCCTTAGCTCTATGTAGGGAGCACCTACATTGGGTAATTCACTGTAGGAAGAGGGGAGACTTTTCCCCCCTTATTGGAAGGAGACTAAGAAGTTACAGGGTCAGTGAAAAAGAGGAAGACCCTCAAGGAGATGGATTGATACCGAGGCTGCAACAATGGGCTCAGGCATAAAAACAATTGTGAGCATGGCACAGGACCGGATGGTGTTTTGTTCTGTAGTACACAGGGTCACTATGAGTCGGAACCGACTCGATGGCACCTAACAACAACAACAGCAACAACAAGTTAAGGTCAAATATTTGCGTAAGTGGTATTAATAATGGCTGGTGTTTCTAAGGGCTTCTTATGTACCACCACCACCGTCTGTTAAGAGTGTTGTGCGGTGGTGGCTTGCGTGTTGCTATGGTGCTGGAAGGAGAGTGACCCATGATGGACAGGTTTCAGCAGTGCTTCCAGACTAAGACTAGGAAGAAAGGGCCTGTTGATCTACTTCTGAAAATTAGCCAATGAAAACTCAACGGAGCACAACAGAACATTGTCCAACTCACACGCTTTGGGTGTGTCATCAGGAGGGATCAATTGCTGGCCAATGACATCATATTTGATGAAATAAGAGGGCCAACAAAGGTGAGGGAGACCCTTGGTGAGACGGATTGGCACAGTAGCCGCAATGACGGGCTTGAATATGGTGGTGATTGTGAGGATGAAGCAGGACCGGGCAACCTTTTGTTCTCTTGTACACAGGGTCGCTATGAGTTGGAGTCAACTTGATGGCAGCTAACAATATAATGTACCAGGTCAGTGCTAAACTCCGCAAAGATTCTCACTTAACCCTCAGAACAAATTTTTAAGATGAAAAACTGAGCTCAGAGTAAGTAAGTAACTTGTTCAGGCTCCCAAATGTAGAACTGGGGTGCCAACCAAGACAGTCTGACCTGAGCTCACTGCTAACGAGGATGCCATGTTGCCCCCTTTTGGGATGACCAAGAGAATGTATTTTGACAGTTAGGGAGGAGATGCTTTCCACGTTCAAACACCTGAGAAATGTCTGGAGTCTGCTCAGGGGAGAGTGTGGATCTGCTGCGTAGGGCGCCTTTCTGAGTGCCCTGCTGGTTGAGGCTGCTTCTCTGGGTGAGGGGGGATTCATCCTGTATTGCTGGGATCTGGGACTCTGGCTGTTGGATTCATCAGACCAGTACTTAATGGGAGGAGACAGGAACCCTCTCAGGATGGAGAACCAATGTAGGTCTGTTTGTGATACTAACTCATCCAAGGGAAGAAGGTGACAACCAGAGGGCCTCGGAGGAGCAAATTCCAGTCACATTTTTCCTGGAGGAGAGAGAGGGACTTGATCTGGGGGAATACAAGCCACCTGGCGTCTGCTCTTGGCTGTGGGGCAAGGATATTTCACCAGCTGTTCCAGAGTTGAGGACAAACTCCCCTTCAGAACTTTCCAGTGTCCTTTATTCTGAATCTGTGCTCACTGAGCTCCATCTCATTGATCATGTGGCTGCCAGGATCCTGTTTTTTAGTGGGGAGAGGGGAGAACGGGTAAAGGGAGGCCTGGAGAGAGAAAGGAATACCCTGTTATAAATGTAATCATGTGGCTTTCTGATGGGTGAACAGAGTGGTTGCGGGTACCACACCAGAGTGTCACCCTGCCCTGGGGAATGGAAGGTCAGGGTCTAGGCCCAGCAGGATAAGCATTAGGTCCAGTGTTGGGGCACCTTAGGAGGTTCTCCTGAGCACTTGCTTCTGCTCAGCTGCTGAGATGGGGGGCAGCCCCCTGCCTCATCCCCCACCCCATCCCACCCCCTTGGCTATCCGATATAGTCATCTCGATTATTAGTTACGATAAGACTCTCTGGTGAAGCAGACATCTCTTGTTCCCTGAGTAATGTGTGATGTCCTCTGATCACATGTTACTAGATGACAGTGTGGAAATCAGATAAAACTTGCAACGAAGCTAATCTGATGCAGCTTCCATGGTGCATGTAACCCTGGCTGTTCACAGAACGGGCTGGGCATCTGGGGATAAGCCGTGCTCAGAGGGACGGTGTTGGGTATGCCCTTATTCCCTCTACCCAGAATCCGTGGAGTCAGATGAATGAAAACGCTCTATGAGGAAAGGAAATACGATTGATGGGTAGGGCCTGAGGAGTCAGAAAGACCTGATAATCCGTTCTGGCCTAACACTTGTGCAACTTCTAAAATATGGGGCTATCAACTCCTGTCTCATAGGATAACGTGGCTTAATGTATGTAAACTACCTGGCACAGTGCTTGGCACGTAATAGTTGCTCAGTGTCTCCTCTTCTGGTGCCTTTCATTTAACATAGTGTGGATATGCACTAGCTATTTTGTAAGTGAATGAAACACCTCATTACCAGATCCGTTCAATGTAAGCGTGGATACTAATAATTCTCCATCCTTTTCTTGTATATTTCTAGGATCCTGTTGTACCTGGGATTTAGATGCTTTAAATTAGACAAGATATGTATCCATTCAGTACTCTAGAGGGACTTGAGAACTGTCCTTCGCTGAACAAAGCTGGAATATCTTGGGGTTTGGAGAACTAAGGTAAGAACTTTTCTCCTCCTGAGCCTTGTGGGACCAAAATAGCTTCTGGTATGAGTGGTCTCTTGCAAGAGAACTCGGGTTGTGGTTCTTGAATTCTCTACATGCCTTCCTGAGCTGCTCGGAAATGCTTGGGGAGCTAGCTTCCTGTGACTTCACACAGGCCCTGGTTATCAGCATTTGGTCCACCTGGACACTGTGCCTAGGAAGCTCTCTCTTCATTCCTAGAGGAGGAAGGACCTCACTGTCTCTTAGATGACTCCCTGGCACCTTTCCACCTGGTGGATGGTAGCGGAAGCTCCAAGTCCATGGCTAAGACTTGCGGAGACCGCTGGGGAGAGAGGAAGACTGGTGGGGGTTACACGATCAGCTCAAAGCTCCCTTTGGAGCATCAGAATATGATCTCCTCCTCTGTCCCCAACCCTGCTGTGCTTCCTCCTCCCCTGCCTCCTCTAATCTCCTGCTCCAGCCACACTAAGTCTGAGGCTGCATGGCGTAAGGGGAAGGAGGTTAAGACCAAGGGCTTCAGGCCAACCTTGGTTTTCCTGGTCGTACCCTAGCCTCTCGTGGACAAACTACTCAGCCTTGGTTTCCTCTTACGTAAAGTAGGGGTCTTATGCGTGCCTGCCTCATGACTGATGTTGTGAGTATTGAATGAGGTAGTTGAGATAGTGCAGATAAAGAGCTTAGCGTGATGCCTGGTATGGAGGGTTGTTCTAGAGTGGAAAAGAGTGTTTTTTTTTATCTTTTTAATTCATTAATGACGTCATTTAGAGTTCCTTTGAGTGTACCAGGCTCTTGTAAAGTCTTTGATCTGCTCTTCGCTCTGCCTTTCAACTACTACCAGGTCAGCCTGGGGAACTGCTAATTCATAAGATCCAGCATCTTCTGCTGGTGAGTTACCTTACCAGGTGTGCACAGCCCCTCACCCCAAGCAGAGTTGATTACCCTGGCCCCTGGACTGCAGTGGGCACCTTAAGACCTGGCTCCATCACACCACAGCTACTGCAGGGGCAGCCGGTCCTCTGGCCCCTCCCAATCCCGCCCCCTTGCTGGTGAGCATGTTTAGAGCAAAGACTGTCCTACATGTCCTGGCCCCCAGCACCGGGACTGTCCCCGGGTTGGGTCTTTCATTGTGAATGTTGAAAGAATAAATGAATGAGTAATTGGAAGGGGAGGGAGTAAAGGAGAAAGAAAAAAAGAGAGAAGTAAAAACAGAAAGATTTTAAGGCTCCAGAGGAAAGAGGTGAGTGGCAATTTTATTTTTCAACAAAGTCTGAAAAGAATATATGACATGATGAGAAGGAAGCTAATGTGATGCCTGCTAGGAATTTGAACCCCATGCAGGGATGGAAAGGTGGGTGAGAAGGTGTGACCCAGTGGGGAGAAAAATGTTAAGGAGGTAAAAACTGAGAGGATGGCCAAGAATTGTGCTGTAGTTGGTGCTTCTCATGCCATCTTTTCTGTGGTGCTTTAACTTTTCCAAAGTTCACGTGTATTTCTAATCCCCTGTGATGGTGCCCTGGTGGCACAGGGGTTAAGAGCTTGGCTGCTAACCCAAATGCCTGCAGTTCAAATCCACCAGCTGCTCCTTGGAAACCCTATGGGGCAATTCTGCTCTGTTCTACAGGGTCGCTATGAGTTGGAATCGACTGGACGGCAGTGGGGTTTATGGTGGGGCGGTGGTAGCTTTCTCAGCTTCCAAGCGGGAGACCCCGGCTTGATTCTTGGCCAGTGCACCTCATGCATAGCTACCACCCATCTGTCAGTGGAGGCTTGTCTGTTGGTCTGTTGCTGAACAGGTTTCAGTGGAGCTTCCAGACTAAGATGAACTAGGAAGAAAGGCCTAGAGATCTACTTCTGAAAATCAGCCAGTGAAAACCCCACAGATCACAGTGGTCCAATATGTGCCCCATCATGGGACGGCACAGGACCTGGCAGTGTTTTGTTCTCTTGTGCATAGGGTCACCATGAGTTGGGAGCCACCTTAACGGCAGCTAACAACAACAGCATGGTGTTCAGGGCACTCCTGTGACACACAGAGCACTTGGCTGCTACCTGAAAGGTTGGATGTTCGAGTCCCCTAGAGGCACGTTGGAAGAAAAGCCTGGTGATCTACTTCTGAAAAAATCAGCCATTGGAAACCTGATGGAGGACAGTTCTACTCGGACATAGCTGGGATCTCCATGAGTCAGAATCAACTCGATGGCAGCTAGTTTTTTGCCCCCTCTTTTGGCTCTGCCTGCCCCAGTAGCATCTCTCGACTCCCTGCCTGATACTCCGAAGCTGCCCTCTCTGGCCTTTGTGAGAGGGCATTAGAGAGCACCTGCCTTCCTGCCTGTGGACATGAACCACAAGGTATGTGTGTAAAGGTTGCTTCCTGGACTTAGTGTCCACAGCGTTGAAAGAACCTGGCCCACTCGGAACTCTGCGCCTGAAACAGAAACATACTTTCAAAGGGCTTCTGGTATCAGCCCAGTTTTCATTAGTCTGTCTTGTCTTGTGGTTTCGTATTGAGGTTTTTGGCGCATCGTATGTGACCTGGAGTTTATTTTTGGTACTCAGGTCAGAGTTCAATGAACGTCAAAACATGAGGGCAGATGCAGGGGAGGACTCTGTATGGCTAGGGGAAAATGTGCCTAATTTTACTTCCTCTGATAACATCTGTCACACGGCATCCCGTGCCCCACCAGAGTACGCCAAGCTAGTGGTGCCTGCGACGGGTTTACACAGGAGCGGGGAGCGGGGCCTGGCCAGCCTCTGGAAACAAAAGCCTTTCTGAGTCACTTCCAGTTCAGCTTCACACAGAGGAGCAGCAGCCGCAGTTTTCGCTGTGAGGGAGGGATGATTATAGTTATTGTTAGACTAAAGGCCAGGCTTGGAATGTTCAGAATTCCTGGGTGGTGCAAATGGTTAACATGCTTGGCTGCTAACCAAAAGGTTGGAGGTTGGAGCCCACGCAGAGGTGCCTCAGAAGAAAGGCCTGCTAGTCCACTTCTGAAAAATCAGCCATTGAAAACCCTATGGAGTACAGTTCCTTAGAGCACACCTAGAGTCATCCATTGACTCAAGGGCAACTGGGTTGGTTGCGTTGGAACCTTCAGTTCTCCTTGTCACCTCAGGAGGTTTCTCCCTGTCTCCAGAAGCAGCAGCTGGCTTCCTTGAACATCACCTCTTCCCCCTGGATTGTAAATGTTTTCAGAGTGGGGTCTGGGTCATGTTCTCTCTCTTGCCTCAGGTTTTGGCCCCAAGACAGGAACATAGACACGCTCAGGGAATGTTTTCATGGGTTGACGAGATTCAGGACGCTGCATTTAAGCTAGAAAGTCGGCAACGGAGCAGAAAGTGCCCCTCCTCCCAGAGCTCCAAGTTCTGCTTTGGGAAACAGCACGGCCAGCTGCGTGGGACTTCAGCGTAGACAGTGCTTTCTCTTCCTTTCTCCTTCGCTTTATTCCACGAGTATTTACTGAGAACCTGCAGCATGCCGCTGCGTAGGGCTCCTGCGATGAGGAGGGGAAGCCACCATTCTTGCTCTGAGGGGCGTCCCTGAGCACGCGGCTCCTTGGTTCCCCACTTCACAGATGAAGGAACTGAACACCTGGTGAGGTCTCGTTGCCTGAGACCCCCTGCTAGCTGGTGGTGGGTCTCACATTACAACATGTGTCTTCTGAATCCAGACCTGGAGCCTGCCTTCCACCTTCCTGAGGTGCAGGCATGCCTCTGTGCCCACAGTCTGTGCTGCTCCATGTCTCTCTGTCTGTCCCTGTCTCTCATCCTTTCTCCTCTTCTCTCTTTCTCTCTGCCACCTCCCTTTCCCCACTCCCAGCCCTGTTTCTCTTCAGATGAGCATCTTTCTGTCTGATGATACGGCTGTGAGTCCATGCTGGCTAGGATTCTGCCAGACTTGCTGACCTCCCTGCCTTTCCCTGGGAGCAGAGCCGTTGGTCTCCGTGAAATCCACCTCCCCAGCACCCCACGCGGTGACTGGCATGTTGTTGCAGCCCCCTGCCTTCCTGCCTTCTTTCACTTTCCTACCTGAGCCAGGTCATGTGCCAGGGAGACAACAGAGCGGATAAGCAAGCTGGCTTTAGAATGTCCTGGGGGAGACACAGCGCATTCAGATACCAGTATTCGCACGGTTAACACACACCTCAGGCTGCAGACCTGCAGGGCGGTGTGATTGCCTGGGCACCAAAGCCGCCCTGTGAGTGGGGCACCACGCTGAGCCTTCTTCGAAGCAAGGAGCTTGGATCCAGTAACCACAGAACTACTCATGTCCTGTCTATCTGCATTCCAGGGTACAGGGGTTAGCTCAGCTTGCCCAGTTGGTGTCAGCACTCCTTGCTCCTCCATCACTTAGGTATTTATGGAATATCCCTGTGTTCATAGCACCAGGCCCCTGGAATGAGAAGCAGTCCCTGGCTACTGGTCCCTTGCTGTTTGGGGCCCATCAGGCTGCCTCCCCTTTCAGATGCACTGCCCACGTTACAGGAATGCACTCCTTCCTTTGTTCATTTCTTCAGTTGTTCATTTTGTCAGTCAATCAACTGATCAGTCAGCCAGCCAGCCACCTCCCGAATCAGGCTGAGCATTAAGAATTCTAATATGAATAAGGCACTCTCCTTGTGGTCGTGGTGGTGTCGGTGGTGGAGGTAGCAGCGGTAGTGATCGTGATGGTGATAAGATATTACTCCTCCTACCAGTAATAATGGTAGTAATAATAATAGTAATGACAAAAATGTGTTGTTCACTTTGTGAACCACGTGCACTTTACATATGTTATTGTTTACTCCGCATACCAATTCCAGGAAGAAACAGAGGCTGGGAGGCTGTTAAGGAACTTTGCCAAAATGACAAATGCAGGAATCTTCCTGCCAAACGCGTGAGAAGCACACACTAATGCTATGTGCTTTTGCATAATTTCAAGTTTGTTTTTTTTTAATTGAAGCTGCGCATATTAGCTTTTATTGGTGAGAGGTCCGCTGGCCGATTTGCTATAAGTGCCAGACCTACTGGGTGCATCCCTCCTGTTGTGTGTCTTGTCTTCCTGGAGGACAGAGGCTGCCTCCTCCTCATCCCCTTCCAGGCGTGCTCTGAGCTGGGGCTCCAGTTTCTCTCCAGGGCTCCCTCTTCCCTTGCTGCCCCTCTTGGGGTCCACATTTGCCCAAGGAGCTGGGAAAACGTTGAGATCCAGCGGGGTTTCCCTTGGTTTGTGATGAAGCAAAAGAATGAGCCTCACGCGGCACACAGCCGTCTTATCCCCCACTGTCTCCAGGCTTTCAGGCTTCCAGAAGCCCTTCACCGCCGAGGCCCGGATCCGTGTTGTTAACTACAGGGAGTGATGGCTCTACAGGGAGGTCCCGTTCTTCTGCCGGAAGCTCTCGTCTCTGGTCTTGCTGCCCTCCCGGCAGTGGCTGCCTTGTTTGCCTGTTTTGAAGAACACACCCGCTGCAGGAGGCAGGGCATCCCGAGGATTTGTTTATTTTCCTCCAAAGAGGAAAACGTAAACCTAGGCCTCTGCCCCAATCATATGACGTTTGGCCTCGGGGACTCACTTGGACAATTTTCTTCTGCTGCAGAGCAGAAGCTCCCTGGCTTTAAGCCCGTGGGAAATCAGATGAGTGGATGCGTGCGGGTTAAGGAAAGTTTCATAAAAATAGAAATAAGAAAAAGACGGAAAACCAATCGAAGTGCCGCCTCCCTGAGCTTGCTTCTTTCTGGAGTATCAAGACAGAGGCTTAGCCCTGCCCCTGCTGCAGCGGGAGGGAAGTGACTGGAGCGGGTGGGGGGCGTAGGGGGAATGCTGCAGGTGGAGCAGGACACCCAAGCCCAGGGCTCGGCTTGGCCGCCTGCCATGTCTGTGACTTGGAAGAAGGTTCTTGGCACTTCTGAGCTTCGATTTCCACCTCTGCAGAGTGGGTTGTTCTGAGGACTGTTGTTTTGTTATTATTGTTGTTGGCAAGACTGCGCTGACTCATGGTGACCTTATGTATAACAGAACGAATCATTGCCCGGTCCTGCGCCATCTTTGTGATTGTTGGTATGTTCAAGCCCGTTGCTACAGCCACCAGGTCAGTCCATCTTACGGAGGGTCTGTCATTACCATTGACCCTCCACTTTACCAAGCATGATGTTCTTTTCTAGCAACTGGTCTTCCCTGAGGACCTATTCAAAGTAAGCAAGAGGAAGTCTCACCATCCCTGCTTCTAAGGAGCATTCTGGCTGTACTTTCCCCATGACTGAGGACTAGATGAGATTATTGTCTGTGATGCTTCGAAGACCTCAGAGATGCTTGGCCAATGGACGTGGCGCTGAATCATCCCCTGGCCATTTGCTTCTGTTCTCTGGACCTGGTTTGCCTCAGCTATAATTGAAAGCAGAGGACTGGATAGTTGCCACAGTCCCTCCCAGCTGAAAAATTGCACATTCACGCCAATTTATTTTTCAGGCAGATAAAAGTTTTTAGTTTCATGGGAGCAGTATTAGGATAGTTGTCATGGAAAGCAGAGATTGGAGGACGTATTGCAGATATCATAATTTTTTTACCTGCACCCCCTTTTACACTCCTCTACACACACATCCTTCACATGCTTTTAAAAATTATTTATTTTTGTTATTGTCGAGAATATACACGGCAAAAACATACACCAATTCACGTTTCTACATGTACAATTCAGTGACCTTCTTTACGTTTTTTGAGTTGTGGAGCCATTCTTACCCTCCTTTTCCAAGTTGTTCCTCCCTGATTAACATAAACTCACTGCCACCTAAGGTTCTTATCTAACCTTTCAAGTTGCCCTTGTCAATTTGATTACAAATAAATAGATCTTAAAAGAGTGTAATGCTCAAGACAGACTGTCTTTACTAGTTAAGCTAAACTATTATTTGGTTTTGAGAAGACTTCAAGGAATATTTCTGGTTTAAGGTTGTCACATTTTTTTTTTTTAAATAAATTTTATTTTTTGGAACTGTTTTAAATTTACAGAAAAATTGTGAAGATAGTACAGAGAGTTCCCATATACTCCACACCCAGCCTCCCCTATTATTAACATGTGCCGTTAGTATGGTCTGTTTGTTACTGTTGGTGGAATGGTCTGCCCCTATGCCTCCCTTCCAGGCTGCCCAAGTAAAGGCCTTGGGCCCAGAACATTCTTTGATAAGGAGGCTGGGAATTGGTTTGCCTTCTCTGTCCCAGTTCCTTCTCCTTATCAGGGAAGCCTTCCCCTGTCCTGGGCACACAGTAACGTTCTCTGTCTCTTGCACATGGGCGGGCACCACACAGCACCAGGCCAACCCCACTTCTATATCTGTTCCCTGCAGGGAGCGAGTGGTGGTCTCTTGTACTACAACACGAGAGAGGTGACTGTAGAACATCTGGCCTGCGCCGGCCATGTGCAGGTTGAGCCTGCTGGCTGTGGAAGACCCGTGTCCACTGGAGAAGCTGATCTCACCGTGTGTCTCCTCTGTGTGAGTAAAGCATTTCCCATGCACCGATAGGGTGTGTGTGTGGACGTTTGCTGGCCATTGTGGACAGTTACAACTAATTAACCAATATTGATACATTGTAACTAACATTCATACTTTTTTTAGATTGCCTTAGTTTTTACCTAATGCTCTCTTTCTGGTTTAGGATCCCATCCAAGACACCACATTACATCTAGCTGTCATGTCTCCTTGGGCTCCTCCTGGCTGTGACAGCTTCTCAGGCTCTCCTTGTTTGTGTGGGCCGGGTGAGCAGGCAGGAGGGGTGGCTGGGAGGCCGATCAGGAGCAGGACCCTGGGTGGGATACCCTGGCCCCAACGAAGGCCAGCGCTCTCCCTGGCAGGGTCTGTGCTGGACTGGCCGTTTGTAAGTACTTTGACCATTGCTCCTGTGCATACCTAGGATGAAGGCGACAGTGGCCAGTCCGCAGGCCCAGGGTTACCACATCTGATTGTTCCAAGGGAGACCAGAAGCAGAGGAGGAGGAGGCCTTGCTCCTTCATACTTACTTCCTGTTCCTAACAGGGAAGGAGCCCTGGTGGCACAGTGGTTAAGCGCTCGACTGTGAACCCGAAGGTTGCCAGTTCCAACCCACCAGCTGCTCTGTGGGAGAAAGATGTGGCAGTCTGCTTCCATAAAGATTACAGCCTTGGAAACCCTATGGGGCAGTTCTACTCTGTCTTATAGGGTCGTTATGAGTTGGAATCAACTACAGTGGGTTTTGGTTTCCTAATAGGGTCTCTGTAGTGACAGTCTTCACCTACCACCAGTACGACAGTCCTCATCTGGGCACTTAGTTCAGAGAGCAACAGTTAGTCCATTTAGCAGGTTCCCCATATCCCTCTTATTGTACCTCCCTCAGAGATACATACAGTCCCAGCCAGGGCTCTGCAGGGCCGACCAAAAACCGAACCCGTTGCCATCGAGTCGATTCCAAATCATAGTGACCCTACAGAACAGAGTAGAACTGCCCTATAGGGTTTCCAAGGAGCAGCTGGTGGATTTGAACTGCCAGCCTTTTTTTTTAGCAGCTGAGCTCTTAACCACTGCGCCACCAGCCCTCTAGATTTTGATAAGCCCACCCCGAGCCCTAAGGTGCGTCGTTGCTTCATGCAGCTGCTTCTCTGATGAGGTAGTGGTTCAGTGGTAGACTCCTCGCCTTCCATGCGGGAGACCCAGGTTCGATTCCTGGACAGTGCACCTCATGCACAGCCATCACCTGTCTGTTGGTGGAGGCTCACTGTGTTGCTGTGATGGTGAAGAGGTTTCAGCTGAGCTTCCAGACTAAGTTGGACTAGGAAGAAAGGCCTGGCAATCTACTTCTGAAAATCAGCCAAAGAAAACCCAGTGGTCTGATCCACAAGTCATGGGGATGATGCAGGACTAGGCAATGTTTCATCTCCTTGTGCGTGGGGTCACCATGGGTCGGGCTGACTCCATGGCAACAAACAGCAGCTCCCCTGATTCCTCAGTGTCCCCCTTCTGCCTTTCAGTTCCTGGTTCCTAGCTAAGAGTTCCTCACACGACACTCCCTCTGTTAGCGCTTCACTTGTTGGGACCTGAGTGACGGGCAGGCTTAGGTTTATTTCCTTTTGTCTCCGGTTTTGGAGCTTGTCGCCTCGAGGCCGTATCGTGCTGCCACCTCCCACCTGCTGCCCCCTGCCCGGAAGGAAGCCCTGCATCTGACGCTCAGGGTTTACTGTCACCAGCCCCAGTGCTGCTAGCCCACAGCCATGGCGCCGTGCAGGGCGGTGAGGCTGCGGGCTTTCCATGGTGAACAGCTGCCCCAGGTGGGCAGCGTCTGCAGGGGCGTGCGCCTGTGCACAGTGGAAACAGCCTTGTCAAAATAAACCGGGGCAGTACTGACAAGGGGAAGTGAGGCTGCCCGGCGAGAAAACGTGGGCTGGGTGCTTCTCGGGGGGTTTCCTCTGCCTCAGAGCTGGCTGCTCGAAGGCTCCCACCTGGTCCTTGCCAGACCCGGAGTCGCTGGCTACCAGCTCATCTGAGCCGCTCACAGACCATGGAAGGTTTGCCTGCTGAGCAGAAACAATTCTTCTACAATGTCTCCCTTCACCCTCCACTCCCAATACTATCTCCCCAAAATAGCCCTCCTCTAAACTTACCTTTCTGGCCGGGCACGGCGACAAACCTCCTGTCACTCTCATCTGAGACTTTTGTGTTTCTCAGGGTGTGATTCGATTTATTATAAACTGCGATATTCATTGGGAACTCGTGTTGGTAGGATCATTATTACGACCAACTGTAGCAAAATCTGGCCTTCGAGCGTACTTTCCACTCCTCACGTTCCTTTCCTCTTTCTAAGTCGGTTCTCTCCAAGGTGGGGCGTGCGTTTTGTTGGGGAGTAAGAAGGAAATGTTACAGCTTCTATTTTTTTTTCCTGTAAAATGCCTTAGTGTAGGCATGTTTTTTAATATTAAGATAGCTGTGTGTGTATAAATAATGAACAAGTACTCGTACAGATATTGGGGCTATGCTTGAACATGTTTACTGATGAAGACATGGTCAAAAAACAAAACAGTCAGGTCACTGGTCGGATTTATGGGGAGGCCGCATCTTCTGGGTTTTGTTAGACAGTAAGATTGCTCTTGTGGATTATAATAAACACGTAGCGCTTGGTATGGTGGCTAGATCACGGACTTTGGTTCCAGGTAAATCTGGTTTTCATCCTGGGTGTAATGCTCACTAGCTGGGTGCCTTGGGAAAGTTAATTAGCCTCGCTGAGCCCCACTTTCCTCATCAGTGACATAGAGATTGTGCGGAATTGTTTGGGAGGTGAGTGAGGTCACTCAGTAGGTCCTTAGTAGCTGTTAGCTGTTTTCCTTTCTTGCCCGACTCACACCTTCCCTGCCTCTGGGAATGGCAGCTCTCGCCCCCTCCCATGCGGGCTGGAGATCTTTGAGGGGTAAATGCTTAGTCCTGGGGGTCCCTCTAGGCAGTTGCCCCTGAGACCTTCCCGGCTTCCATGTGTCTTTCTCAGCTCTTCTATTTATTGTCAAGCTGTGTGCTTCCTCTGTCGTCAGCATCATTAATGTCATTCTTTGGCTGTTGAACGACTATAATATCATTTCATCTTCATGCAGGGATTGTCCCACCCAAGACTAGATTGTAAAGCGGATCTGTGGAATCCACCCGGCTGTATACAGTAGGTGATGAATAACTGTGTATTTATTGGATGCGTTGGGTGGGGGAGGAGGAGGGGCATTGGCGCAGGTGTCAGGGCTTCTTCGCCTTCCTCTGGGGAGGTGGAACCGGCAGGTCCTCTTTCCGCTCTCCCTGCCTTCTCTGCCCAGTGTACGGTCAGCATTACGCCAAATGTTTATAAGTGTAGAGACCAGCTCTGGCAGTGTGATCGTTAGGAAAATGGGCCTCAAGTCACATAAACCTGGTAAACAAAAAACCCGTTGCCGTCAAGTCGATTTTGACTCATGGCAACCCCAGGTATTACAGAGTAGAACTGCTCCATGGAGTTTTCTTGGCTGTAATCTAATAAAAACAAATTGACAAGTCTTTCTTCTGCAGTGGTGCTGGGTGAGTTTGAACCACCAACCTTTAGGCGCCACCCAAGGAACCTATAAACTTGGTGGGAGTCCTCACTCCACCCCTTCCTGGCAGGGAGGCCTTGGGCACAATCTCAGTTTTCCCTTTTGCAAGATGGACTAATAATGGTACCTGCCTCATCAGCGGCCTGTGGAGATTAAATGAGATCAAGCACATGTGCCTTAGCATAAGATAGTCCTGCCAAAATGGAGGGGCCTCGGTCAGGAAATAGGCTACACCCCAGATTAACTCTGATGTAGGCTTCAGAGGACTCCTTGGGTGGCATAAACGGTTAAGGGCTCGACTAGCCAATAGGTTGGTGGTTCGAACCCAGAGGTGCCTCGGAAAAAAGGCCTGGCGATCTGCTTTTGAAAGATCACAGCCTTGAAAACCCTATGGAGCACAGTTCTACTCTGCACACTTGGGGTTGCCACAAGTTCAAATCAACTCCGCGGAAACAAACAACAACAGACTTCAAATACCTGGCTCTCACTCCCTGACTGCGTGGCCTTGGCAAGTTACTTTCCTTTTCCGAGTTTTCACTTTTTGTTACTAACAGAGTTAGTAATACCTTTCTCAGAGTGTTGTGAAACTTACAAACAATTGTGTGAAAGGGGTTGTAAAACACAGCACAGAGGCTGGTAATTATCCTTCGCAGGTTTGTTGTAGAAACCTGGCTGCAGCCTTTGCATTGTTTTAGACTTTTAAGAAGCTATGATGGATGGCTGGAGCCGGGACCCGGTGGGGCTTGGTGCCAGTTCAAGCTCCTGATTCATTCCCAAGCAGCAGATGTATATGGCTTCCTGCAGACAGGCTGTGTTTCAGGTCTGTTCTCATCAGATCAGCTGGGGTCCTGTCGTCTTTTCCCCTGGCATCTTTTGTCAGCTCGTCTGCTGTTGACACTGGCCTGATGCGGAGCCTTGACCTTGTTAAACCTGGGACAACTGCCTAGTGTCCAGATGCACCTAGGGCTCCCAGTTCTGCTGACTCCTGCTGGGCTCTCCGAGTTGGCCCAGGTGCTGGCACAGCCACACCTTGCTTCCTTTGTCCCGGCTTTAGACATTCTCGCAGGCTGTGCAGATGAGTGTGGGCAAGGGAAAGTGGGTGCTCTCATACACTGCTGCTGGAGGGTGTCGGGGATGAGTTGGACCAACCTCTTTGGAGAACGGTTTGGCAGGACACTCTTACAGTTTACAGTGTGTGCACCCTTCCCCCAGCATCCCCACTTCTAGAAATAGTAAGGCAGGTGCCAAAAGAGACTCATTTTACAGCCTTGAGAGATTAGCAGACACTTGAGGACAGCCTAATTGGTTGTCTTCAGCACCTAGAGCTGCTATAGCAGAAAGTGGTGTAAAGAACAGAAATCTATTTTATCACAGTTTAGGAGGCTGCAAGTCTAACTTTAGGGTACCAGCTCTAGGAGAAGG